ACTTTTCCGTCCTGGGTTTGACGATAAAATACATCCGCGTCCTGACTAAGACGTTAAACCGCATCCAACATCAAGGACTCTGATCAGAAGGCTTTGAGGAACGTGGAACCGCCTCTTGGTTGCTGATGTCCCTGGGTCCACCGTGGCTCTGAGTGGTGACACCTGCTGGGGTCCCAGCTATGGGTAAATAATTACCCCCCCCCCCATAAACTGGGGTCAGAACACTACGAAAGTGTAAAAATAGGTTTAATACCAGCCATACGTTTTTGTAAAAAAAATTACCAGCAATAAATTTTTTAAGAAAAAATTTTACCAGCAATGCATTTTGGGAAAAAAATAATCACCAGCAATGCATTTTTAAAACAAATTACTAGCAATACAGTTTTGAAAAAAAAATTATTAGCAGCAATAAAAGTCTTTTCGGTATTAAATAACCTATTGAAATGTTGATATGCCAAACCAAAACAATCTTACTTTTTTAGAACCTAGTTAACAATTGTAAAAAAAAAATCAACAGATTTAAGTAGTATGTCTAAGATCTCAATTCTGTGCATCGTCCTAGGTATGACGATAAACTACATCCGGCAGCGAAGCCTCTGATCTGAAGGTTTTAAGGAGCGTGAAACCACCTCTTAATTGCTGTAGTTCCCGGGTCTACTCTGGTCCAGGGTGGTAGCACCTGTTAGGGTGCCTGCATTGAGCAAATAATTAACTCCCAAACTGGGATCAAAATACTATGAAAGTATAAACATAGATTTTTATAGTAAAAATACATATACATTTTCGAAAAAAAAAAACCAGCTGGCTCTCGACAAAAAAAATCCTCTTTACAAAAATACGTCAATGAAACCTGATCTACAAACTGGTTTCTTAACAAATACTTATTCATAAGAACCTATCTTAAAAATCTTGCTAACATTGAACAACCCATTGAAGTTGATATGACATAAAAACAAAATCAACGAATAAACGAACAATTCTGTGCAAAAGCAGGATCACAGCGTAAAGTCAAATTCAAATTTCCACATTAGCATTTGTTGACCAATCAGGGAGGTTACTTGAGACGCAGCTCAAAAGCTTTGAAAAGGCAGATGACCACTTCTTTGTCGTATGCTCAGAAAATATGTAAGCTCACATCCATAAAAAGGATTAACAATCTTTTCACACCGGAAATCAATATTAAAATTAGGAAATATTTTTATTAACCAATAAAACTTCTAAATTTAATAAATCGGTATTTTAACTTCCTGTAATCCGAAATTTGCCTATAAAGAGCATAACTTAAATAAATAAACTAGTCTTCAGTATACGACCGGCATGTGAATAATACTGAATTCTCAACTTTCGACTCCTCAAAAAATTACTGAGTGTTAAATTTCCTTTGTAAAATTATTACTAGCTTAATATATATATATATATATATATATATATATATATATTACAAAACAAAACAATATATTTCGGGCTTAGTTTTCATTACCCGGGGTTGACGAGCTGATATTTAGCTGCCTGACTGACAGCTTTTTCCTATTACTATATTATGCTACGCACACATAATAGAGCGTCGATTTTGGACTTTCGAGTAATAATTACACATATACACGCCTCTCTATACTTACACAATTTTTTTCTTTTAATTTGTTAAAAGAACAATACACTGCATGAACCTTGTTTGTGTTTATTTTCCTAAACGCAATTCTAAAAATAAACTGAGGCAGGAACTTCATAATCTGATATTTTCCAAAAAAAAAACCTATTTTACACTCAATAATAAATTATTTATTGAATTTGTAGGTGGTTGATCTCATTTCAAAATTACGAATGATTCACTACGAAATACGGAGAGCATGATACACAAAAAAAAGGGGTGATTGTTGCTGGTTTTGTTGGTTTGTGCATATACCAATGAGTTTCAAATAGATAGGTCAAGACGATTATTCTTTTTTTGGAAAAAAATGCACGGGACCCAGAACTTTCACCAATCACGATGAACGGATGTTCTCTCTACTCAGCCTGGACCTCAAGTGGAACTCGTTCATACGATCCATCGCTAAAGATGCTGAGAAAATGGTCGGTTTCCTGTACCGTACAGCAAGTACCTCACTCATCCTGCTATCTTCACAACTACTACTACTGTACTGATGCGGCATTCACCCTGGGCGGATTGAGCCGGCTTCTTCCTGAGAAGAAGATTCTTGGGATAAATTACAGAAGTAGGGTACCCAGGCCTACTCGGATAACGTTCTTGTTTGCCGCGGGATTCCCACAGACGCAGAGACAGGAACGACCAGAAGCCGCCGATTACCGATGCAGATGCTCCTTGGATTTTCACCAGAGCCCTTGTTAGCCGGCGTGTGTGTCAGACCTGTCCGCCTTGGGTGGCCCTACTAGGAACGAAGTTCCGGGCGGCATAGCTCTGGCACTACCGTTTACACCCCCCACCGACTGTGAGGTAAGGGTTGGACTTTGTGGGCTTACAGTACCAGGTGTTCCCAAGCGGTCCCCTATCTAAGTACTGACCTGGCTCTACGATGCTTAACTTCGGTGATCGTACGAGAACCGGTGTTTCAGCGTGATTTGACCGTAAGCTTGTATCTTCACAAGAGCCAGATCAGATCGAAAAATGGAGTACTGCTCCTATGTATAGGCAGGAGCTGTCCAGCCTTCACTTTCCACTCACGATAGAGCCCCAAAGCGTCTCCGCATCCTTGTAGGTGATGAATGATTTCACACCCTACAACCCATCTCTCACGGACGAGACGTCGCAAGCCTCTCGCTGTTCTATCGCTATTTCCATGAAGAGTGTTCAGATGAAATACGCCTCTTGGTTCCATCAATTATAACCTTCACGTCTACGCCATGAAATCCATATTATAGCGAACTACCCCACCCTCATTCCCTTTGTATTCCTTAGTGAAATATAAGTTCTACTCAAACAGGTTCTTTCCACGAACCAATGCCTTGTGGGACCAACTCTCAACAGGTTGCTTTCCCGATCATTGCACTTTTAACCTGTTCAAGTCTAGGGTTAACCGTTATGTTCTATACATTTCCGCATAAGCTGTAATCCATGTAACTATTCATGGTCAATACTCTGCCCGTACCATACAAGCTAATATAGATAAAAACCCGTACCCGTCAATGGTTACGTAGTGCAGGGTTAAAAGCTGAATCCAAAGGTGTTTATTCTTGTTTCACGGGATCAATGCTTGCCAACTAGAAATTACCAAGCACACATACTGAGAAATTGTGTTAACCCGAAATGTAGATTCTGTGATAAATACCCAGAAACAATTGAAGATCTTGTATCAGGTTGCACGGTGTTAGCACCCACTGAATATAAAATTTGGCATGATAGATTGGGCCAATATCTGCACTGGAAAATATGCATCTTTTACAGAAAGAAGACTGCAAGAAACTGTTATGAACATCACTCACACTCGGTTACAGAGATAAGACCGGTAACAATTTTATAGAACTTTACAATAAACACAGACAGAACAATCAAAACTAATCGCCCAGACATCAAAGATCAAAGAACACAAGAACAGAATGTCCTTTCTTATTGATATGGCAGTCCCTGAAAATTGTAATGTATCTTCGAAGACCTTTTAAAAAAACTATTAAAATACAAGGATATTGAAGTGCAAATCTCAAAAATATGGCACATAAGGACATCAATAATTCCAGTCGTAGTTGGAGCTCTGTGATTGACCGAAAATGATTCCGATAGACTCATTGAAGGAATTCTTGATAGTCCTGCATGCCCAAAAGAAATACAAAATATTGTACTCAAAAGTAAAGCTCACAAATTACGAAGAGCTTTATCTATGTAAAATATGTGTGATCTTAGTTGGGTTTTGTTTTTACAAAAATGATCAGTGGAAAATTTCATGTAGTCATTTCTGACCTTGGGTCTCTGATTGGGACTCGAAAAGAAATGTAATCAAATGAAATAATAATAATAATAATAATAATTTGAGACCGCAAACAAAAAAGTGTCCCCTTATTGATATGGCAGTCCCTGCAGACTGCAATGTATCTTTGAAGATCTTCAAAAAGCTGTCAAAATACAAGGACCTTGAAATCGAAATCTCAAAAATGTGGCACATGTGAACATCAATAATCCCTGTTGTAGTTGGAGCCCTCGGATTGGTTGGAAAAGATTCCACTAGACTCATTGAGGGGATTCCTGGAAGCCTTAAAGAAATACAAAAAATTGTTCTAACGAGTACAGCCCACACCTTACGAAGGTATTTATCTATGTAAAATATGTTTGTGTTTTTTTTTCTTTTTTTTTTTTTAATTGGTCAGTGAAAAATGTTATGATGCCATTTCTAACCTTAGGTTTCTGGGCGGGACCCGGAAAGAAATGTGTAAACGCCAGAAATCAAAGGAAATAAAATAATAATAATAATAATAATAATAATAATAATAATAAGAAGAATAAGAAGAAGAAGAAGAAGAAGAAGAAGTTGAGTGTTTTAGGAAAATAAAAAAAAAATATATATGATACCCCAAGATTTTGAAATTCAGACGGACTACTGAATCCAAGAGAGGAGAATGTATTTGATAGTTAAAGAATATAACGTCTGTCAGATTGTGGATGGGGTGTGTTAATGGAGAGAAGAAAAAAGCGGAAAATTATTTTTAACAAAATAAAATTAACGGACTTCGCCAGAGATGAAATTATGGAAAATCAAAATTAAAATCGAATCTGTTGTAGTTGGCTCGGATAGAAATGTGCGAAAGAAAATCGGTATTGAAATTAGATGAATTGGAAATTTCCTGTAGAAATTGGAACCAACCAAAATTCCGGAATTCCCGTGGTCTGCGACGCTACGAAAAATGGTAATAGAGATCTGAGGAAACTTGTTGTCACTCAGCCTGAAACAATGCTCCACAGACATATGGTGTAAACGTGCAAACGCAAGAAATAATAATAATAATAATAATAATAATAATAATAATAATAATAATAATAATAAAGGTGGATATTGTCAAAGAAATAGAGAAAAGGGTGTAAAACGAGGGTAGGAAATATTGCATAAAAAAAAGAACTCATCGTCAAGGAACAAATGAAAACCATGAAAGAAGGTGAGACAGCAGAGATGCCGCTTCGAGAGCAGATTGCTGACATGTGTGCAAAATGCGTAAATAGCCGGCTTATTTGCTGCCTGTTTTTCTCTTCAAATTCGCCCGACTTTGAAATCTGGATAATGGTTCGCATGAAATGTCACTCATCTTGCTAGCTTAAGAAGTTCAGTATAGCATGGCACAAGACTAGCCGAACAGAACACGAGGCGGGAAGTTTGCGTTAAACCACATATTCATGTACTTGCCTTGCTTAAATGCTTTGAAAAAATAGCAAATATAAACAACTTACTATTCTTCTTTTACGTGCTAAACTTTTCAGAAGATGAATGATCAAAACTCTCTTCGACTTCTTACCCTTTGTAGATTTAAACCATGTTTGTCTACTTACTATCCATACCAGACCACGGCAAACTGGGAACAAAAAAATATTGAGTAACTTAACTAACGATATAATTCAGAAAAGCATTTTATTTAGCTATTATGATTCATACACAAACTGAACAATCATCGTAGATATTCCAAATATTTGCCTCGATGTTCAACACAAAATTGTAAGCGTGGTAATCATGAAGCCGTTGCTTTGCGGGTAGTGTCAAGAGGAATTTCATTCCAAACTTCAGTTAGCTTCCACTACATTGAACCAATATCGATGATGACACGACGACGGTTTTGCAAGCGAGTTGAGAGCATAATCCAGAAACAGTCACCCATAATATTCAGATCTGGGCTTTTAGAGGGTCACTGAGATGGACCAATTAGAACTTGTGTATTTTCTCGAAGAATAAATTTGCCACTTTTTTACTGACACCCCACACACACACACACATATATATATATATATATATATATATATATATATATATATATATATATATATTTGCACATATATATATATATATATATTTATTTTGCACATATATATATATATATATATATATATATGTGTGTGTGTGTGTGTGTGCAAATGTTAAAGAACGAAAAGAATAAAATTCAAACGTTCATAACATTAATTTAAAAAATGGCTCAATACAAGAGTAGAGCAATAGATATTTATTATAAACTGTTACATTGGAATGCAAGTTACCACGACAAAAATGCATATTTATTTCGATGTCTAATTTAGATATCTCATCAGGTGATTAGCATTGGTGGGAATAAAAGATTTTATTTAAAAATAGATTTATGAAACATCACTTCTTTCTACATTTTTGAAAATTTTCCACAGAAGGCAATGAAACAAATATATTGAAAAAAAATGTCCATAAAAAGAAAAGAAAGAAAAAAAAGCAGATTAAAATAGCAAAAGGAAGAGAATGAGAATTCAATAAAAAGAAAAAGAAAGAGGAAAGAAAAGAAAGCGTAATAAATCAAACGGAAGGAAAAGAAAAGAAAGGAAAAAGAAGGAAAGAGAACAAAATAAGATATGAGAAGTTGTTGATACCAGTTTAGCCAATGAAGACACGTTACGATGGAGAATTCAAAATTAAATGGAAATATAACGCGACAAGATAGAAAGTTGCGAAGAATAGGACTGTAACTAGCCAAGAAATTGCAGCTAGTCTAAGCGAAGAGCAAGGTGTTAGTCTTGCCTCTTCAACAGTCTGTCAGAACAAGGTTACAAATCTTGTTAGAACAAGGCTACAAATCTTGTACACGAAGGTTTAAGCCGCTAATAACCAAAGCCAACAATGACAAGAGACTTAAATAGGCTCACTATTACAAATATTTCACCATAGAAGACTGGAAGAATGTTCTCTTCTCCGATGAAACGAAAGCTGATCTAAATTCAAAGGATAAGTAGAGTCACTTTTATCAAACAGCACTGTATTGAGTGGGGGTCAATAATTCTTTCCAAAACTGCATATCCTGTGATTGTCAAATTCTCCAAGCCCACCTTCCTCAATATGTGTTCCAGAAATTTGAACTCTTTATGATGAAGTATAACGTATTCATTTTATTTTTTTTTTTTGCTTCCATTTTCATTTTCTAGTTATTGGCATGTTCAGTCCATGGTAAATATCTGCATTCTTTTATAGAACCATATTTCTGTTGCTTTAAGTCTCTTCTTCCTCTATGAGAAGATTTTCCAGCATTCACTGCCATATAGGAATACACGTTACATAATAGGTACTGTTTTCTTTGTTTTTAACGAAAATTTTCCTGTTTCTTAATACTTCGCTTGAGATTTAAAAGGCTCTTTTCGCTATTCCAATGCGCCTTTATATTTCAGTGTCACATTTTCCATCGTCTGTTTAAACAGATAGATAATTTTCTATACTAGGCTGATTTTGATATGACCAATTTGTAGATCGTTTTGAATGCGAGGCAAGACTGTAGGAAAGGTTATATCAGAGATTATGATTAGTTTTAGTGAGAAATGAAATGCATATTAAGAAAGAAAGATTAGATAAGAAAGAAAGAAAGAAAGAAAGAAAGAAAGAAAGATTAGATAAGAAAGAAAGAAAGAAAGAAAAAAAGAAAGAAAGAAAGAAAGAAAGGGAAGATATTAATTCTTTATTTCTAAAGACATTTTTCCTGTTTCTTAATACTTTGCTTAGCTTTTGGAAGGCAACTTTCGCTATTCCAATGTGCCTTCGGATTTCGGTGTCACATTTTCCATCGTCTGTTTAAACATTTCACAGATAGATAAATTTCTGTAATAGGTTGATTTTGATATGTTCAATTTGCAGATCGCATTAATAGACTCTTCCGTTTTGAAGGCGAGAGAAGACTGTAGAAAAAGTTATATCAGAGATTATGATTGGTTTTAGTGAGAAATGAAAGCATGAATAATATTAAGAAAGAAAGAAAGAAAGAAAAAAGAAAGAAAGAAAGAAAGGGAAGATAAAGGAGGGTATAACGCACTCGTACATTTAATTTCTATAATAGGTTCATTTTGATATGACCAATTTGTAGATCGCATTAATAGTTTCTTCCGTTTTGAATGAGGGGGAAGATTGTAGGAAAAATTATATCAGAGATTAAGTTTGGTTTTATTGAGAAATAGAAGCATGCATAATATCAAAAAAGAAAGGGAAGATAAGGGAGGTGATAACGTTCTCATACATTTAATGTCTGCTTCAAGGAAATGGAAAGCCTTACCTCTTTAATGATTAGCATTCAGATCAATGTTTAAAAATAGCTTTGAGCGAATGAAACCTGTAGGTCTTAGAGAGGAGCATTCTTCTTTGAACCTCATATATCACAAATAAAGAACTTTAGCAAATAGCAAAAAACACATCACTTGAGGACTGCCGACAACAGCAACTACCAAAATGGATAGCACATGTAACTCGAAGAGAAAATAATGACATAATCAAGATGTTGACGTTCCACACTACTTCAAGCAAAAGGTTAGGAAGTAAACTTCCATGAATACTAGAAAGAGCAATAACACTTCCTGTGCTTGAGAAATGTTTCAGACTGTCATCTTTATTGTCATGTTCACGACGTTTCGGATGCTGTACTCTCCGGCCTTCTTCACTTGACTGGAATTTCGAACTGAACCCTTTATTTCGTCCACCGGAGTATATTGTTCTAGTTCCACGTGTCATCCCTCTTCCGGATGTCTCTCGTGAACATGACAATACAAGATGAGGTCAACAGTCCGAACAATGTAAATAGTGTAAATAATTACAATACCTCATCTCCGAAAAGACAGATATTGAGTGTAGCTGTAATATTTTGTTGATATGCTCAAATATTTAACGATGCCATAGGGGAATTTCCACGGGTATTTTATAGTTGTAGAATTTGTCCCGTGTCTAAGATTTGGTTTCTGCTTCCTTCTAAAGTCTTTTCATTCTCTTTCACTCCCTGTAGCCCCTTGCGTCTTAGTGGCATTATCGCTTTGCATGGGGTGAATTGATTAACATTAAAATGAATTAAGAATTATGATTCATCTGAAAATTCAAATTGGAAAACCATCAATTTTTCACGGGTATGGCTTCTTTTTTATGTGCCCTTTTTTATGTGCCCTTATTTCCCTTCAGAACCTAGGATCTCCACAACTTCCTGTCTTTTGTAGTACTTAATGAATTTTGTCTTTTTTTCTCCTAAAGTCTGTTCCGCCATCCATTTACTTAACCTCGGGTGTAAAGAGACTTATTCGTTCCTTTCCCAATGACAATTTAATAGGAGTAGATAGGCTTACCTATCACCCGGTCCACACACCTCTCCACTCTTTTGAACAGGAGTAGAAGTTTATTTCTTGTTTCCTGTTTAGGATTGGGTTTCCGGTTCCTTCTAAAGTTTACTTCAACTCGATACGGCTAAAATTTTTGCCTATATTCAGAAGTTTTATTAATCATTTATTTATTTTTATTTACCTCAATAGTGACAAATAGATTCGCCTATCGCCCGGTTCACGCTACTCCCTTGTCTTTTGAACAGGAGTAGAAATTTATCCCTTGTTTCTTGCTTACGACTGAATTGCCAGTTTCTTTTAACGTCTGCTACACCTCTACTTGTAACGTCTCTGACAAAACTTATTTATTTTTTATTTTTCTCTCAAGAGAAGTAGATATATTGCCCCGTGGTACGTTTCACAGTTATATCCTGTATTTATGAACAGACAATGAAGTTTATCGCTTGCTTCCTGTTTAGGATTCGATTTACGGTATCTTGTAAAATCTTTTTATTCTCTTTCATTTCCAGTAGCCCCTTGCGTTTTAGTGGCATTATTGCTTTGCATGGGGTGAATTGATTAACATTAAAATGAATTAAGAATTATGATTCATCAGAAAATTAAAATAGGAAAACCGTCAATTTTTGACGTGTATGGCTTTTTCTTTATATGCCGTATCCTCTCATGATGAAGACGATCATGGCTCTCCATAATTTCCTATCCTTTTATAGTACTTAATGAATTTTGTCTTTTTTCTCCTAAACTGTTCCACCATCCATTTACTTTTGCTCATCAAGTATGCGTTGCTTTCCTCTATCACTCTTACTCTCAATCTGTCCTGTGAGTATCAGATTTTCCAAGCCCTCCTTTCTCATTGTGCGCCCCAGAAATTTTCAACTGTCACTTTTTGGTGATAGGTGTCTTTTTTGTTTCCATTTTCTCTGAAACCTCGTCGTTACTGACATATTCAGTCCGTATGCCTAGTTTTTTTTTCTAATATTGGAATTGGTAAGACTACTCAGAATAATGCTGAGGCGTCGAGCGAACGTTCTGTCATTTGATCATCTACTGAAAGACACCAGATACTGATGGTGTGAACTCCTCAAAGAATCACCATATCAGTTGCTGTTCTCACTATTCCTTCTCAATGACCCGCGAATGTGTATGGTGCATTTAGCGATAAGCGTAGAAAAAGAAAAAGAAACACTATTATTGCGTTTTTTGTTATTATTATTTCCTTTGTAACGGTTGCCATATGCTGAGAAATTTTGAGAGCAATTTGATGCAGAAGAGGTTGACTGTGCGAGGCATCATTAAGAATCTCGTTCATGGGATTCTTGTTGAAGAAACTTATCTTTCAGGCAGATGTCTTTGAGAAAAGCAACGAGAGTTTATCTATCTTAGGAGTTCTCGCTTTTCTTTTTCTTTATCTTTGCCTTGTTTTCCTTCAATACAACGGCAAGCATGGCACTCCACAACTTCCCGTTTTAATGCTCTCAGCTATAATTTCTTCTCTATGTCTTGTTTTTCACTAGAAAGAAATGGTTAAAAAAAATTCAAGAAAAGTCATAGAGAAATTAAAAAGAAACCGAAAAAATGAGCAAGAAAAGAAAAAGGGGAAATGGTTTTAAGGTTGTCCCCAAAATAGATTACAGAATAATTTGAGAAAGGGTAATAAGCAAGAAAAATTTTTTAAGAGGCTGATAAGATAAACCACTTGAAAACTAATTCAGAATATTAAGAATATTGACTGAAAAAAAAAAATGAAAACAAACAACCTATCATGTTTTAGTGAATATCACAAAAATTTATCATTTGCGCAGGGAAGGACATGAAAACTGATTTCACAAAATTAGTTTTTATTGATGTATAAAGAGTTACATTGGATGAATCTGATGGCTAGTCAAGACGCCGTGTCCTTCATAAGAATATTTTACCACATAACGTAGAATATGGTATCATTTGAGCGAGGAAGTACATGAAAACTGATTTCACAACATTAATTTTTAATGATGAATGAAGAGCCATATTGGATGAATCTGATGGCTAATCAAGAGGCCGTGTCCTTCATAAGAATATTTTACCAACATGACGTAAAATATCGTATCATTTGGGCGGGGAAGTACATGAAAACTGATTTCACAATATTCATTTTTTGATGAATGAAGAGCTACATTGTTTGGACATGATGGCTAGGCAAGAGTGTCCTTTAGAAGAATAATTTACTAACAGGACGTAAATGGAAGAATTGTAGTAGAAGGAAGAAGTGTAATGGGAAGAAGAAGTACTATTTTACTTTTCTATTATTAGTAGTAAATTTATAGTTCTCTGCAAAGTTGATACCTATCTCTTTCATAAGACATATTTTTTATCATTATGTGCAAAGATGTATAAAGATATGATCTTAACAACATAAGATACGCAGATGACACAGTACTGATAGCAGACACGGAAAATAAATTACAAAACCCCCTACAAAAGCTAGCGATGAAGAGAGAGATGAAGGGACTAAACATAAACTACAAGAAAACAGAATGCATGATCATCAGTAAAAGGTAAATGCGACACAGAGATCCGTAGAGGTATTGGGATGGCCAAGGACGCATTCCAAAAGTTGGGCAGGGTATTACGAGAGAGGAGGATTTCTTTGGTAACAAAGAAAAGAATACTGACCTGTTACGTGACATCTGTCCTTCTTTACGGCAGCGAATGTTGGACGATTTCCTCAAAGATGAAGAAGATACTCGAGGCGACGGAGATATGGTTCTACAGAAGGATGCTGAGGATATCATGGACCGAGCGTTTGAGCAACGATGAGGTCTTAGAGAAGATGCAAACAAGTAGGATTCTTATACTTAACATCAGGAAGAAGCAGCTGAAGTTCCTGGGACACATAATGAGGAAGGAGTGCCTGGAGAATCTGATACTCACGGAAAAAAGAAAAAAGGGAAAACAACGCATGACATACCTAGCGTCCGTAAGCGAGTAGATGACAGAACATGTTCAGGGGGAGGTGGCAGAAGGAAAGAATTGCAAGGGATAGAGGGGGGGAAGAAGAGCCATGATCCCCTACGTCCTGAAAGGACACGGTACATAGAAAGAAAATACGCCTGTTGTAAGCAATTCAAACAGGTACTAATCATACAGCCGATTTTTAGTATATGCTTTTGAAAAAAATATTTAGATTAAAATATTAATATTACCTATAAAATTACCACAGGGTGCATACACCTGAAGAAGGATTGATAAATCGCCTGTTGAAAAGTTATGGACGAAAAGGTTTTGGCCAAGATGTTTTTAATTGTCTTCTCTATAAGCTAAAACGCTACGGTGTCTCCGGAGAGGTTTTTCAGTTGATCGTCATTCCTATCAAATCGTGAAATGAAAGTTATCCTGAACGTCCACTCATCTACATCCTTTCATACTAACGCGTGTGTCCGCCCAGGGCTCCATCTTTGGCCCTACGCTGCT